TCCCAAATATTTCATATTACAATCACCAACAATTATATGGGATGATTCATAATTTAAAAATCGTGAGAAATAATTTCTCTTTCAATCTAAATTATAAGATGATTTTAATTAAGAGTTACTTTTAATTAGTGGTATAAAGTGGAAGATGCAATAAATAAGAATAAAAGAAAGAAAAACACAAAAAATTAAATAAATGCAATCAAAAAATTACATATAACAAAAGTAATCTATAGTCTGTTGAATAAATTTTTATTTAATAAAAACAAAAATAAAAATTTAAAATTATATTTTTAAATAGATAATTTTTTATCTTTCTAATGAAGTAAGAAATAAGCAAATCCAAATTATTTTAATAAATTTATCAAATTTTAAATATAAGAATTAAATAATTAAAAAATTATAAAAAATATATTTTATTTCAAGCATAACTTACTTATATATCAAGGATTTGAGCCTTAATAAGGCTCACATATAATATATATGAGGTGTCTAAAGAAGCCTCGAGGTCTTAGTCTTATCTTCTTACCTACATCCAAATGCTACAATCCATATAGAACTTATGCACCTTTCTTCTTATAAAGATTAGACTAGCTGCTGGTCTTCCTATTTTCTACTAGTAGAATTCATATTTTTACATTTTTGATTTCACCATAATGTTTAAAAACACCCGAATGTCCTAAAAATCTTACATTGCCATCAAATCTTATTCCATTTTTTCATAATGACTCCTAAGGTGGTAAAATTCAATTTTATCAAGGTCTTGAATTTTTTTCTAAAAATTTCTAATTTTTTTTAAAAAAATATATAATTTTTTTTACAATACTAAAATCTATTCAAAGCTATTTTTATCTTGTTAATTTTTTATCATAATAAAATCAGTTTAAATCTATTAAAAATCCTAATTTTTATATAATTGATTAAAAAGACATGAAGTTTTTTTTTTCATGATTCTTCTAACTACTAATTAATCATTGATAGGATTTTTATAAATAAAAAATATGTAGAAAAGAGGCCAATAAAGATATTGGTCTCAATAAATTATCTTTAATACTTAATAATAAGTAAAAATATTAATCCAACTAAGATAATTACTTCCAAGACTTATTAAGATTCTATTTTTATAGCTTTTTTTAATAAGACTTTTGTAACCTATAAATATTTCTAAATTCTAATAAATACTTAAACAATCAAAAAGATTCTATAATCTTAATATTTGTATAATTAAATAATTTAAATCTATATTTTAAATCAAACTTCTAATCAAGATGCATTGATGAGACTTACAAAAATACATTGGATACATAGTTAATGAGAATTTAACTTTAATTTATTGGTCAAGCTTCAATAAGTGATTTATTCTTAATACAAAAGACAAATAAATGCAATAATATCAAAAGATATTTTTCTAGTAAAAATCTTTAATATTTAAGAAGGTTTATACATAAGATTTTTTTGAGCATCCAAGAATTTCTTAACATCCTTTGCTATATCAAATCATAATTAATCATTTGCTGGTAGGTTAGATTTTTAATAATTTCAAAGCATATCTAAATATCTTTTAAAAAACTCATCTTTATATCAAAATTTTATCACAGCTCTATATACCCATTTTTAACATATATATGAAGTCTTGGCTTTCAGAAAGTCCTTAATTTTTCATAAAATGCTAAAAATTGAAATAAAATCGCTTCAAAATATTTTTCTTTCTACAAAAGTTTTTTATTTTTATTTTTTTATTTGTTTTTTATTTTTAAATTTTAGAATTTCATAATTATTGATCCAAATATTTATTTTACTTTAAATTTCTAAATAATGTAGTATTTATCCTTAAGCTTTATCACAAATGAATGAATTGTAGATTTATTACCAATTGTCTAGTATCTTAGAAATCTTAGCATGTTTTTTAAACCTTTTTTTTTAAGAATGTAAGTATTATTTTCTTTATATTTCAAAAATCCAAAATTAAAATATATATTTTTTTGTATATAACTTAATAACATGATAATATACATTCTTGATAATTTTGAGTCAAAATCTTATCAAATTTCTTGAGATTAGTAAATTGGATTATATATTGCTCTTAGATTTTAAGTGCAAACTTCAACTTTCAATATCCCCTTGATCTCAACTTAGAATTCATTGAACAATATATATAAAGTATAGCAAAAAAAGTGCTATTTCTAATCTTAATTGTAGTTCTTTCATTATTTTTTGTATGCATGTGTTATACTCCAAAGAGTGATAGTAGATACAAAATCAACACCTTCATTTTAAGTACCTATATTATCTTTATAAAAACTCTAAATTACACAAACTTTGTATCAAAACCATATCCATTATCCTAAACTTGCTGATCTTAGCCTTTGATGTTCAAATGTTATTAAAAGAGTAACTCCAATTCCTAATAAGGCCTTGGGTAGCTTCTTTGAAGTCTATTAGATATGACTTTTTGCCAATAGGAATAGAGATTTTTATCATCCATCTCTATTCATCCATATGGATGGCTTAACTACTCCTTTTGATGCCAAAATCCTTCTCTAATATTTTTTCTAATAATTTTTATATAATATGTGTTCAAAACATCAAATAAAAAAAACAAAAAATCACCAATGTTTAATAAAAGTGGCTCTAAATATATAAAAACTATTATCAATATAAAATCAACTTTAATATTAGCCTTTTTAGACTAACTACTTCAAAGTAATAATCTAACCACATTTTGTAATCAACTAAAATCTAATAATATGGCTCTCAATACAATGTGTAGTAAATTATATATTAAATATATGTACGTTATTTTTACATAGTAGCCAAACCAAAATACAAAAATTCCTATTGTAGCTAGAAATATATATTTTTTTAATATATTATTTTCTTTGACAATTATGTTCCTTAAATTTAGTTATAAGGCTCATTTACTTGTTTTCTTCAAGTGCACAACTTCTTGACATAGACTTCAAACTTCTTCTATATATGTAGGAATAGCAATTTTGAAATTGGCATTAGTGATGCAAGAAATTTTCATTCTAATAGTATTGATAAGCTCATGACAATCTACAATAGTTGTAAATCTATTCTTTCTTCTATTAATTATAGAATTCATGGTTTTTCCTTCTATTTCAAATAAATTAATAAATCTGTAAGTCAAATTAGAAGAAGGTAATCTACAACCTTTAATATGAAATGAAAATTTCTACAAAGAAGGTTGATCTATTTTTTTTAAGAAAAAAATCAATGTTAAAAAACTAAATTATTTTTTTAAAGGTAGATAGTTTCAAACCTTCAAAATACAAAAATAAAAGCACAATAATCCATTCACTTCTAAAATAAAACAAAAAAAAAAATACTTTAGGATACTTATCTAATTGAGAAAGACATAAATCAAAATAAAAAGAACTTAAAAACTCTCTTATATAATTCAAGAAGAATAAATATTTACTCTAAAAATAATATAATATTAAAACTACAATTAGTATTATCAAAGTTAAAAAGAATATAAATTCTTAAAACTAATTTTTTAAAAAAAAAATATTGGCAAGAATAAAGAAGGCTTCACTCTTGCTTCCATATATACTACCTAATTGGGAGCTATATAGCAATATTCTATAAGAAAGACCTCCAATATGTACTAACTTTGCAAGACATATATCTTAACTTGCAGAGCAAGTTTTTTATATGTGCACCACATAGTTAGTTTATTCTATAAGTTGCCAATATTTGTGACACGTGGCTAACTTGTTGACTAAGTTTTTAACCTATCAATCAACTATAAACATGCGTAAAGTCAAAGCCACATCTATGAAGCTTCTAAGAAGCTTTTTTGAAAGATATTAGAAAACTAATCTATTCTTATTTACTTCTACCTAATCATATAGGTAATTATTTGAATAAATATGCATGTTTGTAATACTTGGTTCTTTTTGTTGGCCTAATAATATTTTGTTCTTGAGCTTCTCGTGTGAGTTAGGCACACAATTAATTTGAAACAAATACAAGGTTCTTGTTGTGGTGGATGAAAAATAAGTTGAGATTTTATCAAACTAATATAAGTTCATGTGGAAAAATATTAAAAACAAATAAAGAGAATGCAAAGAAGTTGGCCTTATATGGTTGGTATGGCACAAATCTGTTGTAGCTAACATATGGTGAAGCCAAAAAAATAAGAGTGTAGACCAATATTATCTTGTATGTTTAGTAAGTAAGAAAGAGACAATATTTTTATTGTTTTTGAGAATATGAATTGGCTTTCTACATGTGGTTATGGGACCTTAAGATTGTAGAAAAACTCATAGTGTCTAAATAATATTTATGGCTTGAGATAGTTGTGTGTGTGTTAATCCAACATAAGAAAGAGAAATGATAGCACATGTACACAATAGGCCCCCAATTATAGGATGATGTGACAATTGTGCAAGTATGAATATCCAAGCAAATATGGATCAAAGAGCTTGAAGAAATGTCATTCAAAATCTTAATCCTACTTGAAAACATGGCATATTTGCCACATAATACCTCAGAGGTTCGAGAAAACCAATCAACTTTGGCTACTGTTAAGTGGAATCATCATATGGCACAGATGGGTCCAATGCAACTATGCGGCATTCAATGGTAGACATTGAATGGCAAGTGGGACCTAAAAGAGAAGTGAAACAAAAATAAAACGTTGACAGTTTGAATTCCAAATATGGACTATGCCTTTACTTTACCCCTCTTGTGTCGAAATAATTGTAATAATTATATTATTTTTTAAAACAAAACTACTCAATAGGGGTGTAGGGAAGGAGAACATGCTGGTGGAATTGAACAACGTGTTATCACTGTCAAATTAAGCCTCGTTGGACCCACTATATTACAGGATAAACTGTTGAAAAGCGAGAAATATGGAGTGGGTGGGGGATGGGGGTGTTGGGCAAGGAACACACAATCCAAGGAAAAACCCACATCACCATCCACATGGCAATAGAAGGAAAGAGCAAGCATTCGGACAAGTGACAATTAAGAATGTCCACCTTATCGGTATAGGGACAGTGCACAATGCTCAACGCATTGTCGAATTGGTACCGCCCCAATTGTCTGTACAGAGGCATTGGCAACTTGATGGAGTCAAGCTGCACCATTTGGCTCATTTCAACGTGCTCAGTAAACCCTGGAAGCTATGCCAGACGATCTGTGAAGCTGCACTGAGTGCTCTCGGAATACTCTGGAATGTGTGAATGTTGACCGCTTTCCTCCTTCTGCATTGCATTTTGCGTAGAGGTTGAGCTAGGTGGCAGAATGGCACCCACCTACACGAGATACAGTAATCCACACTACAGTACTTCGTGATTGTAAGACTACCCGTTTTCTGCCGCATGCTCTTGTTGCAACTTGTTTTGGTCGTGGCCAGAGATTGATGCTCGCGGTTTCTCTTTGAGGATTGGCTTGTGGAACAGGTTCCGGTGGCTTCAGGGTCCTTGTGGAGGCTTGTATCTACCGGTGATAATCGGTTTCTGTTTTCTGGTCAGGTTCTCATGAACGATGCAAGATGCTGTGACCTATAATTTCACGAGATCCCAAGTAGGTGGATTCATCAGGCGGTCGCGGACATCTCGGATGTTGAGGTGTAACATATCTAAAGGATTTAATAGTCAATACTCTTCATTTGAGCATTAGTTTCTTTCATCTATTTACTTGATTTATTGGGAATCTGTAATTCAGACCAGCTTAGAAGTTAAAGGTTCCTTATTCCGTGTACATGTGGTTGGCAACCTTTGAGAATCCAGGATCTAAAGTCTATTGGGTAACAAAATTGTTCAGAATTTTTCCAGCTTGTAGCACAGAACTCTGTAACTGTTTGGTAAATATCTTCATCTCAAAGTACGTGGGTAGTACGATGAATTCTATTGTATTCGTGCTTCTGGTAGCGGTGATACTTCTGTCTCTCTACCTTGGATTTGGTCCTTCATTACAGAGACGCAAGTTTCAAATTAATGTAGAACTTTGCATGCGCTTAGAAAAGAAGCTTGCTAAGACGCAAACCCACATACATGATCAGTATGATCCTTTGAAAATGACTGGAATTCAAAAGAAGATCTACCAAGAATTGAAGGCAGTGATGAAACGAGCAACTGATTTGCTTAAGCAATGCAGGTGCAGCAACAGAAAATCGTGGCTTTGTGCAGCAGTAGCCCTTCTAGATATCAAAGAGCATGTGCTGGATATTGAACTTGAGCTTGCATGGTGCACACGCATGTTGAAATTATCAACTACTAGCCACTTGGATAGTACAGTAGATACTGACGAAGATAGCAACGTGGCCAAGGCAGAAACACAGCAGAAATCACTTTATGACAAGTTGTCGGACGACTTGGAAGATTTGCAAAAGGCAGCTAATAAAGATAAGGCACATCTGCTGTCCAAGCTTGAGAAAGAGGTTTCGAAGCATGACAAGGGGTCGGAGCATCACCTGCTGGTAACCTACTTGCAGTGCCGTCTCAAAGAGTTACAAGGTAACTCTATTCCTGATGGTGACGTCAAATGTTTAGACGAGTACTTCGGAAAGAAGGTCCAATTGGTTGAGAGCGTGGGTGAAGGTGCATATGGCTACGTATATAAAACCAAGGGGTTGGAGCACCTGAACATTCCCAAGCAAGCAGTGAAAATAATTCTTGAACCTAATGCTTTGGAGGGGAAGTTTCTGAAATTTTGCTATCATCCACATATCGTGCAGTACTTTTGGTCCTGGGAGCAGATCGTTACCGACCGTATAGCTATTGACAAAATGAAGAATTGTTTTCTGGAGGATGAGAAGTATTCCTACATACTAATGGAACTTATGCGTACGAACCTCACTCTTGAAATCTGGGAGAATAAGCAGAAGAATCCAGGCAGTCCACCCTTTGCACTGCCTGTGGCGATCGACATAATGCTTCAGATCGCAAAAGCAATGCGATACCTTCACGGTAAGAGGATCACCAAGAGTAAGATCACCCACAGAGACCTCAAACCCGCTAATATACTAGTGGAAACTCAAGGAAACTCTTTGCATGTGAAGTTGGTAGATTTTGGGATATCGAAAGTATACCAGCACACTGAAACCTTAGGTGCTCAAACTCGGAAGCTGGGCACAACGGTGTATGCGGCACCTGAGGTTTTCCTCCCAGCTGAGAATGGCACCACGACGGCAAATTATCCTCCCAGGGCTGACGTTTGGAGTTTTGCAATGACATGTTCAGAAATTCTCACTGGTCGTACTCCTTTTCACCGTGTACTTGAAAGAAAAGATCTTCACGAGAAAATCAAAGATGGATTAAGGCCTGATTTGCCGGATAACCTGCCTGATTGCCTGCGTTTCTGCATTGAAAGCTGCTGGAACCTGGATCCTCAACAGAGACCAAACTTTCAGAATATATGCAGAATGCTCACTGTTGCGAAAGCCGTGAGTTTGAATGCAACTCTTGCCGAGTCTGCTTTCAAACATGTGCAAAAGCTTGGCGATCCTTCGTTGCAAATTGCTTCAAAGCCAAGTCGTGGGGTTGGAGAGGTGTGTTCATCAGATCTGTGCCTCGTGGATTGTTGGCAAGGGTGGTAATTCCTACGTACTATATGAATTATATAACATTTGGATTGTGATTTCGGAGTGAGTACACATGTCCGCTCTTTGGGACTACTGCTAAGAATCGTTTTTCAAGTGCTACTGTTAAGAATTCTCGTCCTCAGACGGCAGCTGCGCCTGTTCACCACTTTGCCCCTCCGATTGTAAAAATGTTTTCGATTAACCATTCAGATTGTCTTTGTTCCCAGACGTACGTTTTAGTGGGGACGAGCTTCACGCTGTACACCGACAGCTCAAGGAAAGTCGAGATTAAGAGGAAGTACTCCAAAGGAATTACAACAGATATGGATGAGTACAAATACCTGAATCCAATCCAGATACCTTTCGTGCAAGGTAGTATCTGGGCAAACCAACTGGACGTCTACGCGCACGGTTGTCTTTGTGGTGTCTTCGTGAGCTCCAAGTACCAAGACCAGCTCAGGAAACTGAACTTGAATATCGTGACGGGAGGATATCTTGGTCAGACGAATTCTACGAGCGAGGAAGATGAAGACCGCAGGCACTATTGGGGTGTGAAGAGAGACAAGAATTCAAGCGAATATCATCGAGCTGCTGGGTTCTTCAACATGCGCGAATCAAATCAGATGGGGTATGTGTATGTTTACTTCAGGTATGGCTCGTCAGACTCTGCTGTGATTACCCACATATGGCAGGATGACACGGTGATACTTGGTGATATTGGCACAGCAGACTCTGCCTATGCTGACAGGATGGTGCTGGGCAGCAAGATCCTACACAGCGCTCCGTCAGCTAATTCCCATAGCTATTATCTCACTTTCTTCCATCCCTCCTGCTGAGAACGATGCATCGCGTGTTTAGTTGGTCCGATGGTGGGTTGTGTCGGGTTCCAACATGGTACCAGATGCTAAGAACGGCAATACTTCTACAAATTCCTGCTATGTATGTATGTATGTATGTATATATATTTGCATGATGTGGAATTTTGTTGAAGTCTATGATACAAGAGCTTGAAGCAAACCCCGGTAAAGGCTACAAAGGTCCTCAAGATAACAATTTGATAACTCTGGCATTATTGGAAAGTACTTGTGGCTTTGGATGTGCATAGATAGATAGATAGCTATATAAATAAATTAATAGATAGTGATCATGGATTTTTGTATTGAATCATTTCATTTTGAAATTGTATTGTTTTCTCATCTTAGAATTGGTTTCTTCATACGTCTTGGGTTTTTTTTTTTTTTTTTTTTTTTTTTTTTTAATTTTTGCATCTATGTATTATTTTGATTTTCTATGTTTTTTGTTTGTTTTGTTTTGTTTTGTTTTTTTTTTGAAGATGCAATGTAGACAAATATTTTGGAGTAGCTTAATATATGATGGCCTTGGGATTTTTTGATGAAGAAAGTTCTAGTATGTGATGAAGATTGAAGAGATTGAGATATATCAATGGATCAAAATACTCATCAAATTTTTGGTAATATAAATCTAATTATATAATTTTTTATCATTTGTATTGTTTCCTTTTTAATTAGGCAATGTGATTGCTTATTGTCCTTCTTAATGGCTTTGAGTTTTAGTTTTATAATTTTTTCACTATTTCCTTAAATTAAAATCTTACAGGATTTTGCTTTTGTTGGATCTATAATGGTAAGCTTTTATATTATTGAGAGCATTAAATGTAGCTGATGCTCTCCATGCTATTTATTGTAGTCTACAATATTTACTGTAGTTACAATGTTTGGAATGTAGTAGAGAGAAACTGTTTAATTTCTCCTCTTTTCTTTCTTTAAGAAATATAACTCTATCAATAAACTCACTTCTTGTGTGTGTGTGTGTTTACATATGTGTCCATATTACTTCTAGTTATTCTTGTCTTTCTCTCTCTAAAACATCCTCAATACATTATCAACACGATTTTTTTTATACTCTAGACTTGGTTCAAAAAAACTTATATGCACTTTATCCTTTGTTTTTTTTTCAATTTTTTTTCTTCATATCCTATTTTTATTATATTGCTATTATCCTATGTTGCCATTGTTGTTATTATCTTATGTTATTGCTACTATTGTGCTCCTATATTACTGCACCTTGCCACTGACTATTGCCAGACTACCATCAATTGCCGTCAACTGACGTACTTTACCACCAACTACTGCCAACTAATGCACCTTACTGCCAAACTGATAGACTGTACTGCAATCCATTGTAGATCCTTATTTTTGTGAAAAAAAAAAAAAAAAAAATCCTAATTTTTTTTAACATTTTTGATTTCAAATTTCACCTTCATCATTTTATTTGGCTTCACATTTTAAGGTGCATTTTATTCAACCTATTTTACTTGAACTTATATTTTTGTTCATAGATTTATTTATAAATAATACTTTAACATCCTCAACTACCTCTACTATGTTTTCAACTATCACCATTGCATTCCAACATTTTCAAGCTCTTTTATTTCCACCATTGGCTGCTCATAGAAATAATTATGTATTATGGCCAAAAATTTCAAAAGTAAAATTTATTTGTAGAACAACTATCAAATATAATTTTGTTTGAAGAATCTCTTTTTGTAAGTACTTCAATTATTATTACTATCTATTGAAAAGTACTTCTTTTTGTTTTTCAATATCTTGTATGTGTATTGCAACATCAATATTTGGAAATGGAAGATCCAACTAAGCTTTGGAAGAATCTTATATCTAGGTTTGATCATCAAAAGACAATTTTCCTTCCACGTATACATTATGATTAGATACATTTATGTGTTTTGGATTTTTAAAATTTAAATACTTTCAATAGTGAAATGTATCATATTATCTTACAACTATAGTTATGTAGACAAAGCATCTCTGAAGAAGAAATGATTGAAAAATTTCTCTCTATATTTCCTTATACATCTATTGTGCTTGCACAATAATATAAGAATATGAAATTTTAGAGTCATCTTGATCTTATGTCCTATCTACTTCTTGTGGAGAAATAAAACAAGCTATTCTTATGTAATGCAAAAGCTCATCCTATTGGAACCATGGTTCTAAAATCTTATGCATTTAATATTCCAAAATCTAAAAAATAATTATACAAATATGGAAAAAATGCTCATAAGCACCAGGTCAATCATAGTCGTGACCATTTTTGCCCATATAAAAAGAATAAATATTTTATAATTAATTGCAGTAGAAAATAAAAATCAAAGATGAATTTTTGCCATAAATGTGGAATGATTGGACGTTTGGGACATACATGTTATACTTCAAAATAATTTGTTAAAATGTTCCAAAAAAATAAAAAATTTTGAGTCAAAGCTTATGAAGTTCATATTATAGATGCATCGATAGATTCAATTGGTGTTGATGATTTAGAGGCTTATACAAATGAAAAAACCTCTAATAATGAATCAAATGATGCTCTCATTGATTTTGCAATAACACATACTATCCTACAGAATAGATGGTTTTTTATTGAAAAATCTTCAACCAAAAAAACTAAAAATTTAATGATTATGGCTGGAATAAATGTGTTTTGTTTTCAAAAAAGAACAAACATGGTAAAATTACCTGCAAGCTCTATCATAAAATGTAAACATATAATATTTGCATCTTCAGTACTTTGGAGTCTGATCAACTACCGAGATATGCATGTAAATGGTTATGACCTCTCAACTGCAATTCTAAATAAGAAAGAGGTTTTGATTCTTGAACAAATTCATAAAGTTGTAAAAAAAGCCTTAGCTGCAACAAATAGTTTATATCAGATTGCAGTCTAGCCTCCTATTATATTTAATTTTGTATCATTTATCACAGAGACTTGCGTTTTTCTTTGATATAGATGATTGAGACATTTAGGATCTACATTATTTTAAAAAATAGTTTCATATATAATTGGACATAATTTAAGACCTGCAAATAGAGATTCTATGGAATTATGTCATGTCAGGCAAATAATTACATGTTTTATTATTATTATCTTAAAACATGGTATTTGTTAATTTTATATCTATGCTTATTTGTTTTCAAGTACATTTTCTTGATTATCCTATCAAAACATTATGCATGGACAATATAAAAGAATTTGCATCAAAGTCTTTAGAAGACTATTGTTCTACAATAGGAATTGAGTTGACATATTGTGTTCCATATGAATATATTCAAAGTGGACTTATAGAGTCATTTATAAAGCATATAAAATTTATTATCCAGCTACTCCTTCTTCATGTAAATTTACTTGCATCTATGTGGGATCATGTAGTTTTACATACTTTAACATTAATATGCTTCTCTCCTTTCTCTCTTGAAATTATTATACTATAAGAGCTTATTTCAAGTTGTGTTCAAAATGTATCTCATCTATAAGTGTTTGGTTGCTATATTTGGATTCCAATATAAGAACCTCAATAGTGTATTATTGGAGCTTATTAACAAAAAGTAAATATGTTGGTTTTGATTTATTAAGTATTCTTTATATAATTGATCCATCAATTAGCACATTATTACGTGTATATTTTTAAAATTGCCATTTTGAAGAGAACATATTTCCATCTCTTCAAGGAGGAGTATTTAATCAACAAAGAAATATAATATTTATATTTGAAGCATAAAAAATATTTACAATGAATCTTGATTCTAGAATATTTTTAGCTAAAGGTGAAGTTGTTAAGATTTTGTATCTAAAAAAAAATCACAAATAAAATACTTGATAATTTTAATGATGCGCCTTGGATTACAAGTGTTTCAATTCATGAAGCTGAGAATGAACCTACTCAGATTGCAATACCACTAATAAATATACCTTAGATTAAAACATTAGCAATTAAAAAGACTTCCGGACTAGATAAGCAACCACAAAAGAAGAAAGCTATAATATGTGGTGATTTTGGTATTATTTCTATAGAAATTCTTATTAAACCTACAGAACCATTAATTAATGATAATATGTCCATGCACATTATACCTTCACCTCATGCAATAAAAAATCTTGAAATTAGGAAGAATAAAATCAAGTTGAGTACAAAATTATCTATTCTATATTAAGCTACAAATAACCTTTGGGATAGACCATCTATTATAATAGATAAATTATTTATATTTATGATGAGAAAAGCTCTTTCTTACAAAAAATAGGATCATGAACCTCAAACCATTCATGAAGCAATGCATCGCTCTGATTGATTAAAATGGAAAACTGTCATTGAAGAAGAGTTTGCTTCTTTGCGTAAGAAGAAAGTCTTTGGTTCAATTGTAAAAAATCTTACTTCTCACCATATAGGATATAAGATGGTATTAGTATGCAAGCAAGATGCTAAGGATCAAATAATTTTCTATAAAGTTCTTTTTGTTGCTCAAGAATTTACTCAACAGTTTAGCATTGATTATGAATCCACATATTCTTCAGTCATAGATTCAATTACATTCCAATATATTATTAGAATGGCAATTCATGCTTTCTTTGAGATGCATCTCATGGATGTGGTAATTGCGGATTTATATGGTTTACTTCATACAAATATTTATATGAAAGTTCGATCTAGTTTGGAAATAGGAACTCCAAATGCACCTGCTCTAGAATGATATCATGGTATTAAATTACATAAGACCTTATATGATCTAAAATAATCTAGACACATATAGTATCAATTTCTCTAAGATTATTTAATTATAAATAAGTTTTTAAGTAATCCATTAATTCTTTTTTTATTTATCAAACGAGATAAATTTGGTTTTTTAATCATCGCTACATATATTAATGATCTTAATCTAGTGGATACTAAATCTACATTTTTTATAGCTACTAACCTACTTATCTATGAGTTTGAGATGAAAATGCTAAGAAAAATAACTTTTTGCATTGGTCTTCAAATAATGCATCTCTTAGATGGTAGTATTTTTATCTACCAACTAATGTATATTAAATAAATTGTACAAAGATTCAATATGATTGATGCTTATCTATTGTCAATACCAATAGTTGGGTATAGTTGTGATAGTTATGATCTATATCATTTGTGTGAGGATGAAGAAGAAATATTAGGAGAACAATATCCATATCTTATAACAATTAGAGTAATTTTATATTTAGTTACATCTATAAGATCAAATATTGCATTTACAATTAGTATTCTTATAAGACACAATGCATGTCCAATACTACAATGTTAGAATGAAATCAAATATTTACTACATTATTTAAAAAGCATTGAAGATTTGGGAT